CACTTTCATTTCGATTTGGTCGATCTGATTGCGCAAATGCTTCATCTCTCGCATATGCGACGTGCTTTTACGCCTGAAATTATTCATAACATCGATTTTGCTGTTTTGCTCGTGCACATTCCATATCAACACCCTCCAATCGCAACAATATCATATTCAATTTCGAGCGCGCATCACGGATTAACAATGCACATTTCTGATAATCATCTTCATGAAACTATCAAGTATTTTAACAATCTGAAGTTAAAAAAACGACGACGTTTCAAAGAGAATAAAGTAGAAAAGTAACTGACCGATAGAATACGAGAAGTAGAATGAATGCAACAATAACTCCAAGGATAGCAACTGATATGGCGACGAGCACTTGGGGCGATATATCGGATTCTTTTGAATTATATACCAGTTCACCAACATCATAACTGAAACCGTACATTCATCGATGAGTTCTCTATTTTTTTTTTGAAAGACAAGCAACTTCGGTCGATCCAAATACTCATGGACGAAAACGAAATCACACCGACTAACTCAATTCTCTCTTATTTTCACAGAAAATCAAGTGGGACACCGATTTACCAATCGAAATCCCAACAAATTTCAGTTAAATAAATTTATTTCAAATAATTCCTTAAGCACTGGTCAAATAATGAAGACGAATTTCAAATTAGTGCCCACAATACACCAAATCTTATGTATTTATGTGATTGCAACATTGACATCACACGTAATTATTTTCACTGTATTCATATTAAACACATCGGATCGAGGTTATTTTAACAAAAAGTGTGTCGATAATGACGAAATTTTGAAAAGTTGACGGAATCAAATCAAAAGTTTGAATTCGGAGAATCTTATCAAAGACATCGCCAATCAAAACATAAATTATACTACTTACTTCATGCCACCAATTTTGACAATAACACGTGGTTTATCGTTGTATTGCAGTTGATTGGATATCGTAGGATCGGGTGGTAGACAGGTGAGAGCACGATTCGCTAACGCCGTCAGATTGCACAGCTCATCACCGATCTTCACTTGAACATCTCGTTCACTTGCGGCCGCATCCAGGTATTTACCGTTTATGGTCAAATAATCACCGGAACGATACGAACGACCGTCGACGAAACGCTCAACGATCGGGTCCGGGAAAATTTCCATGCGATTGAAACCACTCAACTGAGAGATATTGCTGTAAGTTAGTATCATTAATATCACTCTATTTATTCTTATTCCAGCTATCACAAAAATAATCACAAATCTATAAAAACATTACACATTCACGTACAAAGTCTAATGGCCAACGTTTACAGTATGAATGAATTGTGATAAATAACAAAATTTAGAAACATAATGATGAAACATCGCATACCCAGGACGTACACCATCCATTTCGAATCCATAATCAAGTAGCAAAGGGTGTTCAATTGTTGGGTGATTACGTCTGAAACGGTTACATTAATTCACTGGGAACACGTGCGGAAAAGTTTGGAATTATCGAATGAATATTAAAAAATTTAATAAGCTATTCAAAGTGAGCGATTGACCTGTCATGCGGTATCATGAGGTCGGGAGTGAAGCAGTGCATGAGATCGTCACGTTCAATTGTGCATTTCGGTCCTTTAACTGCACGATCCTCATCCATCACAACCATATGCGGTCGTTGAAGCAGTTTGAAACCATTCCCGTAGACATCCACTAAAATACCACCAGACGCAATAGA